GGCATTGAGGCCCCTATAATCAATGCACATCCTCAAAGTACCCCCCTTCTTCGGTACGAATAGCACGGGTGATCCGTAAGGGGAAGTACTAGGCCGAATCCATCCCTTCTCTGTCAGCTCTTTGAGTTGCTTCCGAAGTTCATCTAACTCGGCAGGGGCCATCCTATAGATCCTTCCCTTTGGGGTCTTACTCCCTGGAATGATTTCTATAGCGTGGACGACTTCCCTATCAACAACTCCTGTGGGCTCCTCGAACAGATCAGGGAACTTAGCAAGGACGCGTTCTATCTCTGGGGGTGTTTTAACGGCCTCCCCCTTCTCCGAGACATAAACAAGGTACATACCCTCCTCTTTGTTTTGCTTATAATAGTTGTAGAACGCTGATGCACACAAGCAGCCATAGGTATCTACAATACTGCTGGCCTTGAACTTAGTCAATCTGACAGTTCGGCCATCGGGCAACTTATGCTTGAGCACCTTCTTATCCCAGTCGAACGGGGATCTTAGCAACTTCGAGGTAGTACATGCCTAGCAGTATATCGAATGGTAAGTCGTCGCTAACCAAGAATGAGATCTTATGGTTAAGCTCACCTCCTCCGTAGGAGAAGGTACAAACTACGTCCTTGATGTAGTCTGTGACAATCATGCGCTCTTTGTTGGCCAAAGTAGATGCTACGGGTCTACTAAGGTGCCATACCCGGTCCTTTAGGTGCAGCCTTTCCAAACAATCGCGACTTATGTAATTTCGCGTGGATCCATTGTCTATGAAGGCTCCACATTTGCGACCTCCTACATCGCATTCCACCACGAAATGTTCCCCTCTATGACCTTTCTTCAGTGCCACCCAAGACTCGCGAGGGTCCTTGTTTGACCACTCTCCTTCTAAGTCTTCTAAGGCTTCAGACACATCTAACGTACAGAGCATAGTTTGGTCTAGTTGTGTCTGCGGGGTGACTAAGGAGTCATTAGCTTCGGCCTTGTCATGAAGTGAGGAGGGTATCATGCCCACTTCATCTTGAGTAGAAGCCGCTACTACTTCCACTGGCCCTACGCGTTTCCCAAGCTTGAAGCCTGGGAATAGGTAGCCCCTACCTTTGGAGCAACCTTCTGCGCAACCTTAGCGTTCTGACACTTCCACTGCGTGTGTCCGTATTCCCTGCATTTGATACAAGCGCCACGCGATCGGCGGTCACGCCACACGTCTTGATCAAGACCTGCCTTTACCCACTCAGCCTGTTTGGTCTGATTGGAGGCGGCCTTCCCTTGACTCCTAGGTTGGCCCTTCCCTCGGCCACCTGCCTTAGTCTTTACTACCGCGGCGAGGGTGCTACCCTCAGCTATCTCCTCGCCGTCATGCTCTGAATAGTCCATCAGGTCAGAGAGTTCGTCAATTTCAGTTTGAGTCCCATCAGACTCAACCATCATCAACTTCGCCCCCTTCTTCTTCCACTCCTGAGGACTCTTCTTCTTCTTYGAGTCATTTCCTGAGGTAGGTTGAGCATTGCCTAGCGTAGCCTCTAAGTCTAAGGCTTTCCTAGACAGTGTCTCAAACGAATGGTACACAGTGCGGGCCTCGCTGGCCAGTAAGTTCCTGATGTTCTCTGGTAAACATCTAACAAAAGTAGTTAGCAGGAACTTGTCACTGTAGTCGATGCCTGGGACGAGGATCAGGCTCTCAACGGTAGTCGTAAGCTCTCTAACTGACCTGAACTTTCGTTGGTCCAGTTTGTTGATGGCATCAGTGGCCTTTTGTGCCTCCTGGGGGTTATGCCATCGAGCTTCTACCATTTCCATGAATTGGTCTAAAGTCAAAGACTTAGCCCAATCCGCCATGCGTCACCCGTACCCGGCCTTCACAACTACACCATCTAGCCACTTGGCTGCCTTACCTTCTAGATAAGACGCCGCGGTTACCACTTCGTCCTCAGGCAAGGTCCTTTTGGCCTTCACCCAAACCGGGATTGTTCTCAACCATGTGTTGAGTTCCTCATCCTTTCTCTCGCCTGAGAAGGCAAGAGGCGGTTTCATTGGGGTCTTAGGATACCATTGACCTTGCGACTGTCCAGCTTGCTGAACAGGTTGTTGTGGTGACGCAGCAATCACCACTGGACCCGAAGAAGAAGATGCAACAGTCTGTGCGGCTGCTGCAGACGTACCACTTGGCTGTGTGCCAGCTTGTACGGCAAAGGGGCCTGACATCGCCGTTAACGGCAACGGCGATTGTGCTGGTGGCCGGAACCCTGGCTTTGTCAATGCATCCAGGATCTGGTCCAAAGTGCTTTGCATGAAGTCCATCCTGCAGTCTACATGCGCATGTAGTGACAACATGTTGTCCCTCAACACTTTCAGGGTGTCAGACAAACTCGATTCGTCCAATCCCTCTAACGCAGACTTGTCAGCCTCTAACGTATCAAGTCTGGCTGCTCTACTTTTTATCTTTTTTTCTCTATCGGTTGCTTTCTTCAGATCCTCCTCGAACTGCTGGCAAAGCCTCTCGACCTGTTGGATCTCTCTGAGCTCCCGCTCACGTGCGGTCATGGGGCTGAACTGTGAGCCTGCCATTTGACTAGAAGACTGTCTAGAACCTGTGGAACCGGAAGTGCCTGAGGAACTTGTGGAACTCGTTGGCATTCCCAACGTGCTCCCATTAGTCCCTGACGAGGACGCAGATGATGACGCAGCAGAGCTTGCGCCGTTAGCCATCACAGCTGCTCTGGCTGCTGTTGCCTACTCTCTTGCTGCCCTGTTTGCTTCTGCTATCCCCGCTGCTAGCGCACGGGCTCTACGTATCCTTCTTTCTTCTCCCGGCTCCAAGGCCTGGAACACGTGCGGTACCCTTAGTGCCCGTGCACGTGTTAGTCTCCTGTTGTCAACTCTATCATCAACAGGATCTGACCCACTCATTAGTTAGGCAGATGGTGTCTACACTAGAATCCCCTAATGGAATCCTACCGCATCATGTATCTGACCGGCACGTAATTCTCTATATATAGTTGTGACCGGCGAGTACCCTACTATACCGAATCAAGTGGCATGTCTACAACATTCACACAGATTGTCTACATAGTCTAGATGCACCCTGATTGGTTCACTTACAGCAGCATTAATTAGAACTGGCTATGGTAGCATACAACAGTCCTACACTAATCTGTCTGTGAGGTTAGCAGTCCGTCAACCAACTAATCAAAGGTACAAAAAGACAATGTAGCAGATGTATGATTGATGGGTATGGTTGTGTATACAGTTGAGCACCAATTGGAACCTACCCTCCCCTCAATCCAACATACCGAACAGCATCTTGAGCAGAGCAGTGTGTTCGTGTGTATATCGGCCCACCCCTGTGCCCAAGTCAGAGCCGAGGAAGCCAACCAGTCCACTCTTATTTACCCTCGTACGGAAACGAGCCTTACTGTCCATGTGATCTGGCTGATCAGGAGGAATTTATAGAGCGCCCCCATCTCTGCAG